CGGAAACCCAAGGAGGGGTCGCTATGAGTCGGGGCCGACTCAACGGCACATAACAACAACAACAACAATGACTAATGATAGTGAACATTTCTTCTTGTGTTTGTTGGATGCTTGAATATTCTCTTTGATGATCATGTCTTCTGCCTATTTTTAAATTGGATTGTTTTTCTTTTTGTTGTCGAGGTATAGGAGTTTTCTATAAATTCTAGAGGTAAGTCCCTTGTCAGATATGTCATCGCCAAATATTTTTTTCCCGATCTGTAGCTTCTCTTTTGACACTTTTGCTTCTTTGGAAGCACATAAAAATGTAATTTTTAGAAGTTCCCAGTCATCTAGTTTCTCTTCTGTTGTTTGTCCATTTTGGGTTATGCTTGGTAGACTATGTATGTCATATATTAGGGCCCCTAAATTTGCCACTATTTTACCCTCGAGGAACTTTATAGTTTTAGGTTTCACATTTAAGTCTTTGATCTATCTGGAGTTAGTTTTTGTGTATGGTTTGTGTTCTGGTTACCTGGTGTCACTCTGACAGGAATATACCTCAAATGGGATGGCTTGAACAAATGGGAGTTTATTCTCTTACAGTTTGGAGGTTTTTATTCTCTTACAGTCTGAGTTCAACTTGCCAGGCTCTAGGGGTTGGGTGAAAGCACCTCGATCTTGGGCTTCAGCTCTGCCTCTTGCTTCCAGCCCACTGAAGCTAGAGGCATTTCTTAATCCAGGCAGCTACTGGCTGCTGAGGCTAACAAGCCCAAGGTTGACAAATAAAATGGCACAGTCCCAATGTTACCAAACCACATGGCAGGCCATTAATTCAAGTCCATTGAAAGTCCCAAGGTCAGCAAAGCATGACAGGCTACTGAACAATGACATGGCTACATGCAGGATTTAAGCGTGCTATAAGCTAGAGACCATTTCCAAAGCTGTTTCTTTTATATGCGAAGCAGACCACATCCCTAAAGCAACTACTCAGCTGCTTGTGGTAGGACCCACCATGGAGCTGATTGCCAGTCTCACCATGGTGAATAACTACCACCAGCTGTCCAGCCACTCAATCAGGCCCAGCCAAATTGACACACAAACTTAACCACCACAGTGTGAGTTATGGATTTTGTTTCATTTTTCTGCAAATATTATCCAGTTTTGCTGGCACTGAAATGGTCACAATAATTCTTAAAGAAAATGCTTCTTTAGTATTATTTGCCAAATTCTTAGCACTTACCATGTGTTTTGTAGTACTATGTTTACTTGTTTGTTTAATGACCATGCCTTAATTATCCTTGTAATGAAGTACTATACTCAGCACTGTGCCTGTCACATAGTAGGATGTCTGAATGTTTGAGTGAATCAATGAATAAAGAACCATGACTTCAATTTTCTTGGGATCTCTTATTTCTCAGGAGAGGAGCTGAGTTGAGGAGGCAATGACTATTGGGATCCTGACATTCAGATTCTGGATGAGTTTGCAGTTCTTCTCTCCTAGGTGGTTATATGGATTCTAGGGACATGAGTGCTGCCATCATCAATTTTCCCTGTGTACTACATGTTTTCCATCAGCATTTCAACACACTGCTCTTTATTGTCTCAACCCTTCTTTCATCATTAATTCACATAGCAAATATTTAAAGAAAATGTTAAAAAAAAATCCAGACACAAAAAGAATGTTGTTGTTTGGAGCCATTGAGTCAGCTCTGACTCAAAGTGACCCTATTTACAACAAAATGAAATGCTGCCCAATTACGCACCATCCTCATAATCCTTGCTATACTTGAGCCCATCATTGCAGCTACTGTGTTAATCCATCTCATTGAGGGTCTTTCCCTTTTTCACTGACCCTCTACTTTACCAAGCATGATATCATTCTCCAGGGAATGGTCTTTTCTAACAGCATGACCAACGTAGGTAAGATGAAGTTTGGTCATTCTTGCTTTCAA